AAGTCTCTTTTCGTTTATACGCACTCCGATAGTATAAAGCTGAGCTCTACCGCACCACTGCGGTTGTAATTTGACCCGACCAAAAGCTCCAGCTATGCAGAGCAATTTTCGTTCTCATCATAGCGGATTTGACCCGAATAAAGGCTCATTTATGAGGTTGGTGGAAGCTGATTAGATGAGCTGCGCATGCGCAGTGAGAGGAGTAATGAACTACCCTAATTGAGATGAAGCTCTCTGCCATAGGCTCTCATTAGGCGTTCGCTCGGCTACAATTGAGTCCAGCTCACTTATTGTATTGTCTCTAATGGCATTGTTGATGAGCTATCAAAACGGCGCCTTCTTTTGTCGAGGCAATCCTCTCAGGAGTTCACCAGGGATTAAGTCGCTGTTTATAAGGGAACGTATAACCAGTGCCGGGAAAAAGCCTAATAGTATCACCAGGGATTAAGTCGCTGTTTATAAGGGAACGTATAACCAGTGCCGGGAAAAAGCCTAATAGTAAGTTGATCATGAGGTTGTCAAAAGGCCACTGAATAGGGATTCACACTTGATCATTTGTGATGTGAGCTATCAAAACTGTAACATAAAATCAAGTGATGTATATTTTACCAGTCGGATCGCCCGGCTGACGCCGAGCTCTCCTCCTTCTCTTTAGCTCGGCTTCGCCAGGCGCGCTCCATAATTTTTAACTTTTTCAACGGTGGGCTGCTTATACGGCGCTGTAGTGATCGAATCGCAACCGATAGAGCAAGGGTTGGGATCGTGTACTACTTAGCACACGCTTCTATTTGCAGCAGGGGTGTGCTCCGCGCCATAATGCCCACACAATACATAAATCTGTATTGCCCCCGCGCGCTCGTTATATATAGTAGGATACTTCCGTGTTGTCCCCTATTACATCCTGTGCCCATTGTCCTAATGTAACGCTGAAATCTATCCTTTTGTCCATTCTTTTCTCGGGGTTAGTACCAAAATCTTCATAACCCTCACACGAAAATTCAGCAGCTTGTAAGAGCAGCCTTCGAAGCATCCTACCGTTCTCCACCACTGTAGGGTTTTTTTCTGGAATGCACTCCGGGCAGTTTAACGCTTCGAATGGTCCTCTCTCAGGTTGTTGATGAAAGATAGTCATATCATAGTGATAAAGTTAGTTGCTGCTGTTCATGGCAACTGAGTAAACAACCGTCATGCATCTGAACTCCAGTTGCTTTAGCGGCCGTACATGATGTCAATAACGATAAAGCCTAGGAGTGAGTTGTGTGCGAACTACTGAGAGCCTGATACCTGGATCATATCAATCGCATTGTGGTTGTAAGCGGTGTTGCGGATTTCCGCATGATGACTTTCAACTCTTATCAGTCACTTCGTGTCACCCGTTCAGTGGGTGTCCGCCCTCCCCCTATACCACTTTTTGAAGCCAAGGTCCACAGACCCTGCAACCCGCCCTACGAATTTGGTGACTCTCCGCATCTGAGGTCCCTTATCAAATCTTATCATATGTTATTAGATTCTGTCACCCACCCCGTCCCTCCTGTATACCATCTCGGAACCATGGTCTCAATTCACTGCAGCCGATATTAGGAATTTGGTGACCCTCCGCGTCTAAAGTCTCCTTATCGAATCTTATCAGATGTTATCAGCTTCTGTCACACCAATTATGTCCACTTCCCTTCCCCTACACCAATTCTCGAAATCAAGGTCCCACGGTTGCTGCACTGCACTAAGAATTTGATGACACCCGCGTCTAGGGTCCCTTATCGGATCTTATCAGATGTTATCAGCTCCTGTCAGCCCCACCCTACGGCATATCAGTTCTTGAAATCACGGTCCCGCAGCTGCTGCAACTTGCGCTACGATTTCGGTCACCCTCCCTTTCTAAGGCCCCTTATCGAATCTTATCAAGTGTTATCACCTCCTGTCACCCACCAAAAGTGTTCCCGTCCTGCCTGTATATCACTTCTTGGAACTGTCATCCTATCTTTTCTGCGACGCTCGCTATGAATTTCGTGACAGACAGACAGACAGACACACACACACGGACATAGCGGATTATATGTAGTAGGATTATGATCAGTTCAAATGTCTATAGTTTCCCTCTGGGCGGACCTGGTTCAGCGGCAAGTGGCGCCTCTTATCAAGAACGCGGTCCGTGGTAGCCTCCCGCTCAGGCCAACAAAGTATTGTATCACTCGGGGCTAGTGTACCGTACCAGACTCATCCTGGAGGATCAAAACATCGATTTATGCGTAGGCTAGCCCCCAATTCAATGTGTGGGCCAAATCGCGTTCAAAAGAATGTATGACTCCGAGTGGAAGTGGAATGCGTGGGGCATCTCAAAACTTGGTTGTTCAGCGCCGGAAGCTTTATCCTTAACCTTACTGTTTTTTCGTCTACAAGTTGTTCGCACCGCATTCTACTCATGAAATTGAGTGCACTCTAACAATTACACGCTTTGTAGAAAAGCTGATTTCAAATTGCGCCATGCATGCGACGTCTGATGAGATTTCCGAAAAGCCTGGCGAGGACCTTACAGTTGCGACAAACTTGTAAACTCACACTGCGAATCCAAATTTCACAGGCAGAACATAGCTGGGGACATATAAGTTATGAGAATGAATTGAATAACTTGACCCGAAGAATCGAACTTTTGACCTGCAGCGCCTGTCACTGATACGCTACGAGCCTTCCATAAATTTGTCCCATGGTAGAACCGTTCACTAATCCTCACAAATTTCGAGTTATTAGTCTATTTTATCATTTATGTTTTTTTTTATTTTATTTTATGTTTTTTTTATTCATTTCTTGATAAAATATCTGATGATCACCTCAAAGTCAGATTCATTCCAAAGGGGTCAAGGCGCAAAATTCTAATATATTAATCTTTGCGGGCGCTATTCCAGAATGATTCTCGATTGTTTCAGGGGATATCGAGTAGTCTCATCGTCATTGTCCGATGACGATGTGACAGTCGTCGTCTGTTCGGTGCTCTTCTTCGCTGCCTTTTTTATTGCCGTTTTCACCCAGTACCGAGCCGAAGCATCTGTGTGTCGGGTGCTGTTCCGATGTTGGACAACTAACATAAACTGGACCATTCGTCATTACGACATCAGGTATGTGAGCGAAGACATCGTCGAAAATATCCACCAATAGCCTTCGAAAGTCTTCTTGCTTTTTTTAAACAGTTGGAAACCTTTCATTGTTTGGTCAAGACTAAGTAGATATGCTAAACTGCACAAATTAGGCGGAACCTTCCACCATATGGATGAAGTTATACTCTCCGAAAGGCCGTCATGAGCCCAATGAATACATTAAGGCAATTTTCACAGAGAGTAGGGGTAAGGGTTATTCAGACAGTCTGCGGTTCACTGCTACGCTCCATCCACTTCAAGTGAATGAGGTTATCGGTTTCCGCTCGAGCCCATTTCCCATCTGCGGCGTGGTGGACTGACTGCTTCCAAAATCGTTTGGGAGAGTTAAAATACCGATGTGCTCAACCCCGCAAGTCAAGGGCCATATGATAAGGTGTGAAGAGTTGGCTTATCACACCACGCACTAGTAGAGTGTTTCATAGGTAGTTGACCGGACACCCATGCATTGGACCGAACTAGTGGACTTGAGAGGCCCACATCGAACGCAAGGAGAGTCGAATCGCCGCAGTACCGCTGTGTGTATTGGTCCGAATTTCGCGACCTCACCCGCTAACGCCTCTTTTGCCACACTCACGACTCCGTACCACTGCCAATCCCCAAATCGTATTAAGAGTGCTTTGCGGGTTCTGAATTGAGATGAAATGCGTGGCGCACTCCAACAAGTGATCGATACGCCGAAAGCTTTATTTTTTTGACGGTAGCAGTTGTATCACGCCACTCTAACCAAGTCCATTCTATGCGCTATTTCAGAGATGATCCTGAGATGCTAGCTCAACGTCAAGCACGCTCCGTCGAGAACAATTCCAGTACAAAACCTGGCCGAACCGATGGGTCCACTAAAGTTGACAACCGTATGCCGACCGCTGGTCGACAGCTACCCATTACGGTAATGGAAGCACGGTGAGCATCATCGACATCATCATTCGCGATGATGACAAATGCTGCCGACTCTCGATGACATTGGAAGACTTCTGCTGACGGGTTTTTCCTTCTCCGGAGTCCACGATCGTTTACATATGTCGGCAAATTGTCGCCAACTTCGCCATCTATACGTAATATACTTCATCTCTCGAAAATGGGGAGGGCGTGGCTGTGTTCTTCGTTTTAACAACTCGCAGGACATTTTGCCGTGGAACGTTTTCATTTGAAACAGTTGCCTTTGTGCCGTATACTAGTCAAAGATACGATTACAAATGTTCCGAAACGAGAATGTCTTCGGGGAATCGCAGCCACGCCCACTCCATCTCCAGGATACGGAGGGATTATAGATTCGCTTGAATATATGTGTCTAAAAGTGCATTTCCATCATACCTACTACTGTCACATAGCAAACAAATACCTTGAACGGGTTACGATCTGATCGCATTCTTTGAAGTATAGGACTTTTTGTCCAATCTCAATCAATGCCAATTAGTATTGTATTTCATTGAACTAGTCTTTCGTATTGCATTCTTATTCGCATCGTTATCGCCTCGTTCTTCTCTCAGGAACCTCTAGTGTACACTTCCTTCACTCATCCCCATCATCGGCCACAACACTTTCTGCAGCTTTCTTAGCCGTGCCTTCTCCTATTATTCTTGCCATTTATTACGTGAAATCATCATTTTTCTTATCATCGATAAAAATGAGAGATATAACATCTATAACACACATAACTTATTAACATCACGAACGTTCAAGCGTTAAGAAACATCAACAAGAGAGTACAGTTTTTGAAACATTACAGTGACCATACACATACAAAGATGATAAAATTGGCGTTGCACTTACAATAAAATCTTTATCGATTCATTTTTCAACTTTCTCTTTTCACAATAAGGATGCTAAGGTAGACAATTACATGAGTTTGATTCATAAAAAAAACCAAGAGGGAAACTTGTAGATTGCTTTCATATTTGACAACACGATGAGAATACCCATTACTCTGCTCTTTGGAATAGATAGAGATAAGGCTAATTGACGAGGTGGGTTCTGCGATATAGCCACTTTTTCATCATTGAAAAGAATCTGAAACAATGTAGTCGGATTATTCCGAATAGAATAGCACTCGATTGAACCAATTTAGCAGTCAATCGAATCATCCTTAGCCAGTCAATCGAAGGATCGTAAGAAAATGACTCCTAGGTTTAAAAAGACCGGACGTGAAGCTACTGAAAAGTAGCGTGAAATACATTACATGAAATCATAGTAATTTGATATTGCATAGCGAAAAAAGTGATCCACGACGGACCTTATGAGCCACCAGTAGCTCACAGCGAACGCAAAAACTTATGCCAGACCTGCGCGGCGCTTTCTCGCGCAACGCGACTGTCTCAACGTGTTATGATTTTGTTCACCATCTGCAGCTCGAAAAACCAGGGAAAAGGGGAGAATATGAGTCGACTTTATAATCGCCGAACGGAAGGGTTTGCGAGAAGGAATAGATAAATATCGATGCTAACGAGTGTTGAGTTGAATGTAAGAGGATGTACTGTCCAATCCTCCTGAGTGGTACAGCATGTAGATGCAACATTTCATAGACCCCCGGAACCCTGTTATGACAAAAACGCTGAGTTGTGAGCAAAAGTCAGACACCAGGCGGGATTCGAACCCGCATCTATGAAACGTGAACAATACCTTAGCGCTAATGTGTTTTGACCACGAGGGCACATTCATCGCATGCAGTTGTGAATTTGAAGTCCAAATACGCATTCTAACTGAACTGCCAGAAAAAGTAGTGGGCAAAAAGGTCACAGGCGCCTCGAAGGCACCAGGATGGGACAAGTGTACAAAGAAGCGAGATACTGCTGCGCGAGCGAGAGAACTGAAACAGGAAAAAGAGAAGTAAACAGAGTTGGAAGACGCAGGACATGCCAAGGGCGGTCCAGCGCAGAATAGACGTAAATGTTCATATCTGTGATGAGCATATGTGTGAAGAGATACTTGTGTCGAGGCGGAGGTGGTGTAGTGACAAGTGGCGCGCTTACCACTCCTGCGGTTCCGGTTCAAATCCCGGACAGACTCCCGCCCAGGCCAACCAAGCCTTCCACCCTCCGGGAACGGTTAAGGTACTCTGGGAGGATAAAACACTGACTTGTACATCGGCTGGCCACCGCAAGTCATTGTATAGGCCACATCGCATTCAATAAGCCACTACGATTCTGAATGGAAGTAGAATGCGTGCCGCATCCCACAAAGGGATTGATCAACGGCGAAGACTTTATCCTTTTGTACCCAGTTAAAGTACTACTTACTCTTGATTTCTCTCAAGTGAACCTTCAATGTAATATTATCCGCATGAAATACCCCCCCCCCCCCACACACAAAGCTTCCAAAAGATTGACAGGATAAAAATATGCTCACCCATCTATCCTCCTTCTTCACATGAGCCACATAGTGGCCAGAGTGCGGACTGTTACCCATGTGGCTAATGAAAGCGACGAGACGATATTTGCCGCTTCCATCGCTAAATTCACGAGCTGCAGCTGTTTCCAGAGGTGTCGTGTTTTCACCGGGGATAGCAGCGCCGCATTCCGGAGGAACCTGTGTTCCGAAAACTAATTAAAGCCAATATAACAATAAGGAAAGCAGAAAAATTACTTCTTGAGCGTGAGAAAAAAGCCACTCTGCAGCTGCATTTGCGTCCGGATTTCGACTCAGTGCGTAGCGGGCCTGATGAGGCGTAAAACCTTAATTCATATTTTCAAACATCAATCAACAAAAAGCACCAAAGATAAAAATCGGATTGAAAACGCACCGAAAGCTACCAGCTCATTGAGCCCCTCCATGGGTGCCGGTGCAGCAGGAGCTGAACGGCCACCAGCAGCAATAGCTGGAGGGTCATTGAGCGACGGATCGTCTAGACGATTCATGACCCATTCAGCAGCTGCCTCGACGCCTCCACTTTTACCAGTTTCAATCGCTGCCTTGATCGATGCATTCCGCGTGAATCCCATCGCTTCCAACTAAACGGAAAGTTGACTTTCTATACCGTAAAACAGTGGAAAAAATATAAAAGGAGAAAAGCGCACTTGTTCGGCGATGGATCTGTCATAGTCTGGCAATGCAGGTGGTACAGATCCTGCTGCATCGTCAGGAAGAAGCGTCTCATTCTCTTTTTTTCCAATTCCTCGAAGACCGGATAGATCTATTTCATCGGGAACCTAGGAAAAACCACATTCACATAGGAAAATATGAAAATTGAGAAAATGCTGGTCATTCTCTTCAAGGCTGCGTACATACGTATGACATTCGCTCAAAATGACTGCCTTGAGATTTAGGGGTGCACGAAATGACGCTGGGCATAGTAAATTATGATGACTGCTGTCAAACGCCGCAGTACGCTCCGAAAGTTATCGCAAGAATACTGAGCTATGCAGGAGTCTGACCCCAGCAGGCACTTTAACCCGCTCCTCTTCCTTTATGCGCAAGTGCGCTATCCGTTAGGCCACAGGGTCGCTCTAACCCTCCCAACCTGACAGCATGTTTAACGTGAGAGTCGCTGTAAGGCTACGGCATAAAAAAGCCATCAAGCTAAGGGCTACACTAGTTCGTGACGGATAGAGCAGTCGCTCGTGAAGGTGGGGTGCGACGAGTGATGCCTGGGGTCGACTTTCCCCCATAACTAAGTACTCTTGTCATAGCTAGGCACAGTATTTGCTTACAGGTATTTCAGATATTCACTGTGCAAAGTCCATCACAAATGCAAGTTTGGTGTTCTGGGAGAAGTAAATAAAGACGCCAAGACATTTAACCGAAACAACAGAAATTTATCTCGTTCTAGCTGATGCAGTTAGCATTTCTATTTTATTTTATTTTACACACACACTCAGAAGGCACAATAACCAAATCACTGATCTGGTAGCGCACCTGCAAATCAATGTCGAGCTTCTTTACGGTGTAATCTGGTGACATCGTGAACCTCTGGAATGAAACACTCTGTTGGAAAAATAATAGAAATACAGTTTAATAAACACTCCTAAACAAGAGTATACAATCTAAAAATGTAATATTAGGTTGAACGGAAAGTCCTGCGACACTTTGATTGAATTGTTCTAGAAAAGACCAAAAACATTTTAAATGTTTTCATCCCTGATTAGTGGAGACTGTCCTCTGGGGTTTCTGCAAATGGGTATATCATGACTTTGTGGAAGTTTCAAAGCAAGTCCCTCAGAGATCGAGGTACTTTTCGACCTATCCCATATTATGAGTTCCTGTAGGGCCACTCCGCCGTAGTCGAGGAAGCTAACACTTACGTTGTCTTGAGGAAGGATATCGCTTGCCATGGCAGAGGGTAGCTTTTGCATCAGCGCTCAGGCTGGACTTATTTAACTCGTAGTTAGGCAATGTATAGGTTGGCCCGTTTACTCGAAGCTTCTTGAGGCGCAGCCGAACGTAACCACCAGTAAGTTGGCAACCTCTCTAGGCTCCACCTGACTGACAACTGCCATGCTTCTCCGCAATCTCGGTTATCGGAAAATTTTTTTGTGAAGGATGCCTCATGAGTTGGACCCGTCTGACAAGTCATACCGAATGACCGTGACTGAGTTTTCTTTTCCTTGTACACGGAAGAACATTTTGTGAGATCTTGTGGTTGGTAGCGAGTGTTGGAGTCCTTGCGTAAACTATGCACACATCCCTCGCAGGATCTCTCAAGGAAAGG